GGGGGGGGGGTGCTGCTATTGGCATCTCGTGGGCAGATGTAACTAAACATTCAGCAGCATCCAGCGTGGCCCTGTAACTGGTGTGGGCTCCATGTCCAACACATAATGTTGAATTTTGTCAGAGAAAGGTTTAATCAACAAGTCCCAAGTTGATATTTCAGAAAAGGAAGTGTATTTTAAAGTTTTATTCTGGAAGGAGACAAGGGAGGACTTGTGAAAGGAAAAACAAGTTAAAAAACACCGACATTCATCGACGGCCTTTAAGAAAGTGCAGTTGCCCCTCCACAGCAGTAGCGGTCGGGTGTCACTCTTCATGCCACGACCCATAGAATATTGGGAAGGGTGGCGCAGAAACCAGAAAGGATGAATCAAGAGCGGACCCTGAGACATGTTAAGCAAGTGTTCCTTTGCATAGAGGATAGAAAGTGTAGAGGAAAAGTATTTTTATCTGCCCTTGGAAGTTTCATGAAAGTCTAAAATCTCTACTTGTTTTTTTAAAAGAAGAAATAAAATTAACTCATCTCCTAATAGAATATTTTACATTCAAAATAGGACAGAAACATTGTAAAATTACCTGCTGTTGCCCCAGCTACTCCACTCCATTCTTATAAGTTAAGAGAATGTATTTGTTCGGGACACACACACACACACACACACACACACACACACAGGGCTGAAGGAAGCCAGTGAGAGGGATCAGCGATGTATTAATCCAAAGTAATTAATAGCCCTGCAGTCGAGGGAGCCAGGGCAAAGAGTGGCCATGGAAGGAGGTCAGAGATTACTGCCTCGGTACAACTGTCAGCAAGGGCAGAAACAAATAAGTCCCTAAGTGGCAAACTGGGAGGATGGGGCACAGAAAGAGGACATCCTTGCAGGAGAGACAATGCCAAGTGTTCTGTAGCAGAAACTGTTTCATGGCACGAGGGCAGTCTACGGGGTTGGGGCACCGTGCAGTGCCAGGCAGCTAGAATCCTGCTGGTTGTGGCTCTATCTGGTCGTTTTGTCTCTAAGACTATTCATAGCTGGTGTATATGATTTCTTTTCCCGGGGATGATGATTCATTTGCCTTGACTGTGTTGTAGATCACTATTTGGCATTGTGCATGTACAGACTGCTTATCTATAGGGCAGCTGATGTTTCTATGTAAATAGCTCAGGGATGCTGAACATGTGGCCTTACCCCTTGCTACGTGTTTGTTTCAGCCGGGACAGTTACAGACGGAGCGGCCTCACTGCATGGTGTAAGAAATGGCTGTAGGAAACGACACGCAGCGAAGTTATTCCATCATCCCGTGTTTTATATTCGTCGAGGTATGTGTCTTTTATTTTATTTTTTTACCTTTATGGATAAATTGGAATAAAGTAACAATTTTTATGCTGAGAAATTGGATTAAAATTATTTCATCTTATGACCAATAGTTAAATTTTGATAACACAAATAGGATAAAGGTCTAATAAATTATGCAAAGTGTTTCTTGAATAGGAAGCCATAGAACATATCAACTTCCACCTATGTGGGGGTACAAAATAATTATGTTATGTTTATATTCAGTGGTGACTTCAATATGTTATTGAGTGCAGCATTTAAATTAAGTTGTTTTTTTAAAAAATCAGCATCATGTTTCAGGAATTCAATAAGCCAACCAGTTTACAGATGATGTTAGTTGATGGTCTTTTGCCTTGGAGCCCAAATCAAGAAAAAAAAAATCTTAGAGTTGACTATCTCTAGTGGGCATTTCTCTTTAGTGGGGTATTGAGAGCTTATATACTGTGCAGTTTTCTTTGGTCATGAATTATTTTGTTGAGTTGCTCCAAGTTTGTACCAGCAAACAGTTTTTCCAGCATCTTTTTGTTTAAACTTCTTGCATCCCATCCCTACTGTATCTCCCTTTCTATGTGTTTGCTATGGAGGAGACAGAGGCATGGACATTTTAAGAAATCTGGAATCATATGATGCAATGCAAAAGCTATTCCAGCTTATCTCAAGATAAGATGTTCATTTGCCAGAGACGAACCTACTTCTGCCTTCTCAACCGATAGGGTATCTAATGGGTTGTTTTTTATCCTAACGATCAGGTTTCTAATATAATGTAAAGCACTGAAAAGTGTCTGAGTTTCCTTCCTGGCTAACTGCCTGGGCAGTTTCCACATCCCACTGGTCAGCTGTAGCATGTTCTTGTGCTGTGGGATCTTTTTAGCGGCATGTGACAGGAACGTGGATGTTGACCCATTTAATTAGCCTGTGAAAACAGACCCTTGGGTTAAACCCCTATTATATTAGCAGAAGCATACTTTCAGTACAGTGTTATTTAAACACATGCAATGAATCAGTGCACCAAGTATTTTTACCTCCTGCCTCTTGAAATAACTTTCACGGTCTATATAGTCAGTTAGATAATTTCAAGCATTCTGATTTTTGGCCAGTATGTGTTTGGCTGATCCTTGAGTTTTGCCTTATAGGCACCCCTTAGTAGTTTAGATGAACAAATATTACTTGATGCTTTACTTTCCGGTGATATTTGCGAACCTGTTTGTATTGCAGCATCAGGTAGAAACAGGAACTTAGGGTGGGACAGAAGTATTAATACAAGCTGAGATGCACATAGACTCAGGCTAAGCTCAGTCTCTCAAAGGGTAAGCAAAGCTCTCTCACCATAAACACATATTCTTAATACTCTTCCTTTAACTTCCTGTACAAAACCAAGGGTACTCCATTCAGACAATAACTATATGTCGTGTATATTTTGGGTTGTGATGAAGGAAAAGGAGCCTTTCTCCTACTGCTCATGTGGGAAAGGGTAGAAGGCTATAGCATTAGTTTCCAACGCTAAAAATTTCTTTTGTTATAAGAAAAATGAATTTTTAAAGTGATCTGGGGGAAATTGCGGTAGAAGTCATCCGTCATCATCTTTATTCTCCCAAAAGCAACTTTATTTGACATTTTCTTAAAAATCAAACGGGAACCAAGCCTCAAAGTAAGAGGTTTAATTTATTGCTGGCAGCTATATCTCTGAAGATTTTTAGCCCGCTAATGCGTGAATGATGAGCTTCACTGGTAGAGCAGGCAACAAGAAACATAAATCAGTTTTTCTGTGCCTTAACCTGACACAAACATAAATATAAGTCTAAAAATCTGGGAGAGGAAAGATAGTTTATTCTTTTTCTTGCTGTATTGTCATCCTTATTTTGCATGGAAATTTAAGTACATCAGTGACTTCTCTCAGAAACAAGCAGGAGAAAGAAAAAAAAGAAAACAGAATTAAGTAGAAATTGAAAGAGGAGGAGGTGACTCTCAAAGTGGCTCTTACAACTCTCATGCATTTCACTCATCAAACATTGTTTATGTACATTATTCCAGGTATTCTGATAATAACCGACATATCAGAAAACTTGGTCAAAAATAACTTGGTTAAAATGTCAATTTGATCAATGAATATCTCTTCACTGATTTTTTTTATTATGAAAGAATTCCAACAGAGAAAATAATACAACAAACATCCCTGCACCCACCATCAAGACCAAATCTTAAAATCTTGCCATATGTTCATCGAATATTTTTTTTCCAAGGAAAAATAAAATACTACAGCTATGGCTGAAGTCCTACTTCAGAAGTTACATGTGAAGTTAGAAGCTTCATTCATCTGCATGATTCCCATGTAAATTTTCATATTTTTTCTACACGTGTATATATTTATAAATAATAATTTAGGGAGATTTTACATAAATGATACTGAACTTCTCTCTCTCTCTTTTTTTGACAACTTGCCTTTTCATTCAACATTATGTTTCTGAGATTTATCCAGAAGTATTCATTTTAATTGTTGCATTTTATCCTATTGTGTGAGTATGCCTAGTGAGGGACCATTTGGTTGATTCTTTTTTGTTTACCTAATTTTTTTCACATTTACAAGTTTGGGGGGTTTTTTTACTCTAAAAAAATTTTTTACTTTTTTTGCAGAAAATATTATTTCTGTTTTCTGTGCATGTGTGCAAGAGCTTCCCTTGGATTCACACCTAGCAGTGGAATTGTTGGGGGACAATTACATTTTCCAGTTGTTTATTGCTGCATTATGGGATAAATGTTGATATTTTTATATCAGTTTCCTTGAAAAACTTTGTTAAACTCTGAGTATGCCTGTAATTCCTTAGATTTTCTTTTCAGACAGTTACATCATTTGTAAGTAGTAGCACATTTGTTTCTTTTCTGATATGACTTTAATTTCTTTTTCTTGTCTTATTGTTTTGGTTAAGACCTCCAGTATTATAGTGGATAGAAGCAGTGGTAGAGGACATCCTTGCCTTGTTTCTAACTTTAAATAAGTATGGACTTTCACTTCTTATTTTTCTGTCCTCTGCCTGTTAAATTAGATTACTTAACTTGTTTTAATCCCCCTTTGTGTTGTAAATTATAGATTATATTTCTATTTTTTTAAAGCTTACTCTTAAATTTTACCCTCAAATTTTTAAGTTTATATATTTAATCATCAGCTCTATGCTTCCCAAAAAACTGATGTTCTTAGGTCACTTTGAGATCTTGGGTGTCATTCTTTATTTTTACATATTACTTAAATTTTTAACTCTTTTTTTTTTTCCCCCAGTCAGGGCTTTTTTGAATGTATCTACACATTCATCTGTTTCTTTACTCACCATTGCTCCTTTTATTCCTCTCTTTCCTTCAGGGTTTCATTTTCTTGTGAAATTTATCCTTTAGTAGTTCTTTCAGCAAGGGTCTAGTGAATTATAAGCATTCTTAATATTTATCTGAAGCTGTCTTTATATTACTAGCTTGGCACTTAATTCTAGATTGAAGAGTTTATTTTCCAACCTCGGAATTTTCAGTGTGACTTGTTTTGCATCTTGAATATGAAAAGTCATGTTTGCACCAATTCTATAAAATTCTCAGTGATCTCCTCTTCAAACGCTCGCTCTCCATTCTTTTCATTGTTTTTTCCTGCAACATCTATTTGATAGGTTGTATCTTCTCATTCTTTCTATATTCAGTGTCTCTTAACCCATCTTGTTTTTTTAATTTCTAGAAGTTCTATGTATGTTTTAAAAAATCTGCCTGTTTTTATACTTATGGTTTTTCTTTTATGTTCCTTCAGCTTATTCTGTTATCTGAAATTATTGGTATTCTAATTCTCCTGAGTGTTCCATCTGCTGTTTCTAGCTCATGGTGGATTATTACCTCATTTATCTTTATAATTTGTTTTTAGCTAATTTTTAGCAGAGCTTGCTTCTTCTGTAGATTCTTGTGGGCCTTAGGTTTTAAGAGTATGTCTTTGAAGCAATTTTGCATGCATGTTTCTCTTGTGCTTAAGCTTCTATATCCAGAACCCAAACTTGCACATTTCCAAAATATAAGAAGTCAAAGTTCACTCTCCTTGTATTCTTCCTATGCCAGCAGGTGGATTTATACAGAACACATTTTCTCTGAAATGAAAAGCAAGATTTCAGGAATTCTGGCTTTTACACAGGAGTCTCAGTTCCAACTTAAGTCCTCATGTCCTATCCCCATGGACATTAAAGCCCAAATCCTGTTACTGAGATTGACATGTACCCCTCTGTCTACTCCCATCTAAGTCCACTGTGTCATCTTTTTATTCAGTTGCTACTCTTCTTTTTTTGATTCGGCTCACCTGTGAAGCAAAAGAATGGAATGAAAGAATACTAACCATTGTTTATAGATGTTTGCAGCAGAATGTTTTCATGCCATTTTTGTTCCTGAATGCATTCATTAACAACACACATTTCTTTACTACTTATTTTCCCCCCAAGGCATTATGGGTTTAGCCCCTCTTGCAAACTTTACATACCAACTAGGCTTCTGTAACTTGGACCTGACCAATTCTTTTATAGAGCCAGGATCTTTGGGCTGGGCTTGCAATATGTGTGGGGGATGGAGGGTAGGAATGAGAGATACATAGTGCCCATAGTGGAGCACTGGCATGCATTTTCTTGGTGATTTTAACTATCTGAGCACAGAGTTTTGACGGGGAAGTTTATTCGTGGCAGTTTGTAAGAAGAATAGATGCCAACTAGCCTTCTCAATTCAAAGTTGCTGACAAAGTAGGAGCCTGCTTGGGACCTACCCAGAAGGCTGAAACAGTGCTGGAGAGAAGCTGTCTGTCAAAGGAGCAAGCAGCATGGAAGATCTCACTGTACTGGTCAACCCGGAGAGCACTGCTTGGGGTAACCCTTGGCTGTTACAAACTACAGTGAGAAGTTGAGATGTCACTGAAGAGAGAGCAAAATTTGTAGATTTCAGAGAGTACCTATAGAAGATAACGGGCTGAAAGGGAGGAGATGAA